ATATCTGAATTTCTTCTGAGATTTTGGGACATCTTTATACCAAAGGCATAGATAAAACCTGCACAAAGTACCTTCCCTATAAGACCCAACTAATTTTTAAAATTCCTGTGTGAAAGGAGTTGGAAACAAACCAGCAAATGAAAGTATGCAGATCGTCGGCAGATCCTGCATCCTGAAGGTAATTCAAGAGCATCTGTTGCATAACTTCTGTCTTTGTAATCATATTTGGATCTTCGATGGTTTCATCTGATTCAAACTTACCAGTACTCTTGGTGTCCGTCTTGCAGTAAGACTGCAGTACAAGAAGCTGCCTCTTGCATATGCAAAATGGACAGTGCCAATTTCGACTTGGAATGTCTAGTTCCTTTAAACCCAAACAATCAGCATGAAACCACCCTTGACAAATTTGACAGACCAATAAGTTCCCAGCCCTTTTACCTAAACAAACAGCGCAGTTTTTTGGGCCAACTTGGTCAACTCTAGTTTCACTATCCGATTCTAATAACATCCAGAATTTATCTGCACTGCAGAGGACAGCATCATGTTTTAACCTTGCAGCAATTGTACCAAGCAATTCAATGGCCATTAACCGAGCAGAGACATCTTTTGATTTCAACCCTGCATTATGCAGCAGTATGACGCAGAGAACCTGCACGAGTTGACCTGTCAGAGTGGAAAGAAACATTGACTTGTAATAACAACAAACACAGTAACACAATATGTTTACCTCAAGAATAGGAGACACAGATGGATATTCAGGAAGATTTAGTGCTGTCAGTAAATCTGCAACAAGATTCTCAATCATCACTTTTATCTCAGAAGCATCCTGAGCCTTCAAACTGGTAAATCGTTCAAGGATACGAGTCCAAAAAAGACAACATGTTTCTGTAGCCGCTTCATGACATTTAGTTAGGTAGCCAACATCAACTGAGGTATCCAGTACGGAGTTTCCACTGGAACCCTGTCTCAGGGGTTCAGGAAGGCTTGTGCTGTTGTGAACCAACTGAATGAGCAAAGCGGTGACCATTTGGATCTGCCTCTGTTCTTCATCAGGCAGATGATAAGCTCTCAACGCTCGTTTCGAGGAAGGCAACTTCCAGAGCAATTGAGATATCTCATCTATCACATATGTTCGATGTTGAGCATATGAATTATATATCTGCATCAACGAAGACATTTAAAAATCTTTAAAGAACATTACTGACGTGAAGACACTGATCTTTAGAACAGAAAACACAACAAATATGTGGAGTAAGTGTGAAGTCTTACACCACCGATTAAGCTAATTGCTTTAAGTTGCAGAAGTTGAATATTTTCTACCAAAAGTGTTGTGAGACTTGTCTTCAACAGTTGTAAAATGCAACTGTCAGACAACCTTTCTACCAACAACAGGTCCTTCAGTAAGCCAAGAATAGTGCAAAGCTTCTGTAATGCAGTATTCACTGCTCCAGAGATCCTACGAAACAGACACGTCAGAATGGAAATACGTGCAATTAAAATTACAAACGAATGGGTATAAATCAGTAAACCTATTCATTCCTGACTTCTTCAGTTTCCCACTTTTTACAGTGCGCCGCCTTTTGGAGGCTGAGCCTATGTCCGGATCATCATCATCATCACCTAGAAAGCATGTGGCATATATCTATATGTCAAATTTCTGTTATTAGAGTATAACTTGTGCAGTAGCTGGAAGAGGAATGAGAATATTAAAATAGCAGAGAGCAAAGCATGTTGCAAGGAACAGACGATGCATAGCAAATCCAATTTCAAAAAGTAAATCGGAAAGTCAACCTTCAAATGCCACATTATCTGCTGGTTTACTTGCGGTGCGGTATGATGGATCATAAGCAGACATAACAGACATCATTTGATGCCTAGAGAACTCCAGAATTCTCTCAATTATCTGAGAAATACAAAAATTAATATGAGTCAGTTAGACATGGTGAAGCGGTAGCAGTGTGCATATAAGCACACACACAAACAGACTTCAGGAAAACCAACAGTAAAGAAGCAACCACCTCCTCCTTGTAGAGCTGCTTTGGCATATCACTGTTGGCCATCACTGCAAGCGATGCATGGATTGACTCAAGGGCACCAAGAACCAACAACACTGAATCTGAATCTGACTGAAAGTTTTTGGGCAGGAAATGTTAGCTAAAAAGAAACACACCTATTTTCCACTCTTATAATACTACACATACTAATTTAAAACACAGTAAAAAGAACTAAAACAGAGATGCAATCTTCCAAGTCCAAGAATATATACTTCAAACAGAGAAAAAGTAACTTTGATTGAAAGCTAAATTGTACGATAAAATAGTCCATACGTCGATTGCAACATGAAAACAATCCCCATAAGCTGTGTTAAGCAAGAGAGGCACAAATAGAGAGAGCCAAACAGAAATTACTCACATGCTCACTATAAATGGACAGCCCTTCTGCCCTATGTATTTGATGATCTAGAGTGTGCAATAACCTCGATAGAATATCAACAGGTACCATATGCAGAAGCATTTTTGGTCGTATAGTCATCAATTCATTTACAAGAACACGAACTTCATCAACAGGCACTGATGACCACTCTGCTTCATCCCTATCATCACCAGGGACTTCAGCTCTCCCACAGAAGTCCTCCACCATCTCACAAAAGCTTTTTACGATGGACTCTAAACAATCATTATGAAAGAACAATTACTTAGAGTGTGGGTGTAACTGCAAAGAAAACAAGGAAGAGAGGCCAAACAGACCTTGAAGCACAGAGGGATCTGGTTGAACTAAATACACGTCATCTTTACGTTTCTTCTTACCCTTTGGCTTCTTGGAAGCAGAAAATTCCTGCACTTTAATTTGGTTACGTCCACAACACAGAAGAAACCCACTTAGAGAGGAAGGTTACCATAGTGGGCTTACGTTAGTGGTTATCATATCAGGTCGAGAGTCATAAGTTGCAATATCATCTCTCTGTGACTGATTTGTCAAAGGTTCAGGCTGCTGACTATGGTCTTCTACAGGATATGATCGTAATACCCTTTTCGCAGGTTCAGGCTGCCGACTATGATCTTCTACAGGATATGATCGTAATACCCTTTTCACAGGTTCAGGCTGGATACTTTTAGCTAAATGATGATCTGTCTGTTGTTGAATCTTGACAGGAACACTTGGCTCAGACGTTCTCATTTGAGGCTCTTCATTGGTAAAGACTGGATCACAGGTTGGACCTGAAAAACTTGGAAATTGTAATAAATGATAAACACAAGCATATTTAATCTACCATAAGCTAACGCTAAAACAAGTTTTCCCGGAGCAACCAAACTACTACTAAAGCTTAGAGGTTCATTACCAGTACCACCTGACTGGGGTGGAAAAAAAACAAAGGAAGATACTGCAAGTATCAAGCACTAATGACGTCTTAAATGCGGACCAATCATTCTAAAACTTAAGAGGATTCTTTTCCAAAAGATTTTCAATATTTCCCCTGAAATCTGTAACACTCCACAGTTCAGCCAAAGAAGGAAAAAAAAGAGAAGACTTCATTTACCAGGGTTAACATACTCAAATGCTCCAGGATTGCATCGTAGAACTTGATCATATAACTGAAAATGCTCCTCAGAATGACAATTGAGCGCCCTAGCCTCGTTTCTAAGATCCCTGCAAGATTAAATCAGTGATAAATAAGTTAGTGCCCTCTACAATCATGGTCTGGAAATAAATGAATTGCCCCTTGGAACAGAAAATGCCATCCATCGTAATATTCTCCACAGACCTAAGTAAACCAAGCTTTGCTAGTGGGGGAGAGATGTTTTATACACATGGCTACTCTACCAAGATTTTGAGGGAAAGAAGCACAATCTAAAACTCAGAATTACTTAATTCACAGTTAGCTGCAAAAACAACAGCTTCAACCAGCACAGAACAAAATGTTACTGCTCACTTCACCAGCAAAATTGCCAAAACCTGAAGACTCATAACTTTTCTAATCATCAAACTTCTCTATATTACTGACACAACAAAACACCATACGATTCGCTGCAGTCACCACCACTTTTCGTAAATTTAGCTGATCCAATAGTTTCTTAAACTCACATATGAAACACGAGATAGTTTCTGATTACAATTGTACCAACGAGACAGATTAATACAATAAGACTCTCAACCAAATAGCACAAACATTTCACCCGTCCAATTGACGAAAGAGCTCAAACTAGTTTCTGATTTCCATTAGTTGCCAAAAATGAAACGAAAAGGAATACGACTAGATAACTTACAAGTAAGAAACGTCAGTTTCATGAAGCATGTTTGCGATTCTACTGGATTGCGCGAGAATCTCACTGCGATTCAACGACCTGTTGCTACTACCTTGGCTGACCTCATCGAACAGCTTGAACTGCCCCGGTTCAGTCGCACCGCAGAATATGGGTAACAACGGTAGCGGCAAGTGGGGAGCAACCTCCGACTGCACTGTATTGGCCAAACCGATCCCGAACTGAGTCAAACTCGAGCTTGAACCCAAGCCCGAACTGCTTCGATTGCTCATCTCTGAATCGAACTCCGTAGTCACAGATTAAAAAAATTAGGGTTTCGAGAAATCAGATTTGGAGAATTGAGAGGGAATTCGAAGGGGAATTGAAGCACGGTCTATGAGTCATAGAGAGAGAATATTGAGCCCTAGACTGAAATTAGGGAAGATGGTGTAATTTAGGAAAATCAGAGATGCAATTGGCGGGGAAAGTATTGGAGACGGCTTCCCCTGAAATTCTCCTGGTTTTTGTCATATAAAATAAATCAAAAAATGAGCAAGGTAATTCGCCCCTGATGAATGACTTTTATACCCTTATCTATTGCTTTATCAGGCAGTTACAGTCTATCAAGTAATCAGGGGTAGTTTCGACTTTCGAGTAGTGGAGTCATTTTCGTAATCACGAGAGGTGGATCTAAAACTAAAACTAAAACCGAATAAAAATTCAGTAATCCAATAACTTCTTTGCTTTTCGGTTTTCGCCATGGACGTAGGAGGAGGAGAAGACAAAAGCGATCTCGAGGTAGACGTTGAAGACAATTCCATGGACGATCTCATTAAAGACCGATTCAGACTCAACGCAATCTCTATCGCCGAAGCCGAGGGTCAGTTTCATTCGATTGTGATTAGTCTCTGTGTCTAATTGGCCGCATTTCCTTGTAGAAATTGATGAATCAACTTATTAGTGACGAAGCTGCTTGAAGTTGATCCTATTTAGATTCTTCCTAATGAATGTGTTTAATTGCTTTTAATGAATGTCTATGGACGAATTTCTTGGATTTCGAATTAGTTTTGAAGATTCAATTTGTAAAATGAAGCTGGATCTGAATTTTGTTTTGTTTGAGCAGCCAAGAAAAACGGAATGGAGATAGCCGGACCTGTCGTCGCATGCGTGGCAGATTTGGCCTTCAAATATGCAGGTGTGAATCAATTTACAATGCATCGGAACACTGATTCTGCAACTCATCCTGGTCGAATTCAGGGGAATACAGATTGGTCTATGTTAGGATTTTATCAGTCTTTTGTTCTTAGGCCTTTACGTGTTCGTTAAGCACAGAAATAGCAAATATAGAAGCAAAAGATGCACTACTTGACATATCTGACGTAGTTTCATTGAGCATGGTCTGTTGTCATGTTGAGGAGGATAACAATTTTGGTTGATGTTTGTATGCTAAAACTGTTGCAGAAAGTTTAGATTCTTAAACCAAAAACTAGGCTTTTCTTCTTCTTTTAGTTTCCAGAACAGGCTTTTTCTGAAAGATTCTGCTAATTGTTTATGAGTAACAGAAAATGTTGCAAAGGACCTTGAACTCTTTGCTCATCATGCTGGACGCAAAGTTGTGAATATGGACGATGTTGTTCTCTCCGGTATAAACTGTTTCGCTCACACACAGGTTCATGATGTTATATCTGTGTTTTTTTTCTTTTCTGAATTTCATGTATGTTTTGCAGCGCACAGAAACGATAACTTAGCTGCATCTATGAGGTCATTGTGCAATGACCTAAAGGCAAAGGAGCCACAATCTGAGAGGAAACGCAAGAAAATATCAGCCAAGAAAGATGACAAAGCCAGTAGTAGCAATGCAGTTCTCGCATAAATAAACGAACTGTAACCCTCCCAAAATCTTCAATATAGATCCAAAGTTTGGCGAAGAAGTTGTTAAATGGCCTGAAATTTTGTTATAACAAGACTTTTGCATTAACCCTCTTACTTCAAAAATATTAACAGGAGAATCTCTCTGTATATATTCTCGTTTATAGACACAGTTGTTTTTGTATAGAGGATACACATTCTTTTGCTATAAAATTGTGACAAATTATTCAAATAAAAAGAAATAAAACAATATAAGTTCTAAAATATATAGTTTAAAGTAATTAGCTATATATGTTGTTGACAAAGAAAACATAACGTAAGTAGCTATGATATTAATTAGATCTTCACATGTACAAGTGTACCGTATTTTTTCTTCTCTGCGGGATTATTTGTTGACTGTTGTATATTACTTTTTTTAACATTCAAAGCTTTAACGAGTACACACATGTGCACTTCATTAGATAGTTGCTTGCTACGGGGATTGTCCATTTAAGGTACCTTTAACATGCATTGGATCCAGGCCCAGTCAAATATTTTAATGGGCCATACGCCAAAAAAAAATTTGGAAAAAATTTAGAGCTCTTTTTACTAAATTTACCAAAATTTAGGGTATTTTTTACTAAATATTCAGAATTTTAGGATTTTTTTGCAATTTTTTTTTATCAAAACTGTGGGATCCATTATGGGACCTTGTGCAAATGCCATGGCGGCACACCCCTAGGGTCGGGCCTGATTGGATCAATCAAAGAAAACATGCATTGAATCAAAGAAAGAATACTTTAATTAATTGCTCATATAGGAAATATGAAAAAGATTATTTATTGTTTAAGTTCGTTTACGGGTTTTTTTTTTTATGAAATCTTGTTATTCTCTCTCTAAATTTTGTTGTTGGATCCGATTGATAACCTAAAACAAAATAAGTATTTTAGCTGTAAACGAGAGTTTAATCGATGTAATAAAAAGAAAATAGAGAAAAAAACATATAAAGTTTCAAAAATGAAAAAAAACATATATATACACTTAATCGAGGATATATACATTTTTGCAATTGTTCCAGAAGTTATCACTCTACAAAACAAAATCATAAATTTTAAAATGAAGAAAGTTTGCTAAATTTAGAACATCACTTAATCGAGGAATCTTCCTTTATCCGAAGGCGCTAAAGCCCTCTTTATATAAAGAGAGGGCTTTATCAACAATGCTTTCTATCTTTTTAGAGCATAAGTTGAAATGGCCTTCTGTTAACCGCCACTCCTTAGATYACAGATCCTTCAAAATCTTCTTTTCATTTTCTATTTGCTGCTTGTCGAGAGTTTTGAAAATCTCATCTTGAGATATTTAGCTTTCGACCACGGGAAAAGAAGCTGAATGAAATAGTAGGAGTTTACCTTATAGCAGGACACCCGCCCGTTGACAACTCTAGGTTACTAATCGGTGACTTGCTTCGCCCAGGGGAATCTATACTGTTTCATCCCTGTTGGTTCAGGCCTCCTCTTCCATCCCGTGTTTTACTTACATTKAAATTGAGTGCTTTTTTTTTCTCCACTTGAGTCTTAGTTACTGGTAGCAATTTCATGACATTGCCCCACTGTAACTGGACAGCCAAATCGTACATCCTAAATATTATCCCGTACCTGAACGAATCATCCATGTTCGCAGGTCGGTAATATGTACGGATAAAGATCGGCACATCCATAAAGACTTCAAGCTCTATACTGGCACTAAGCCTTAGCATACAATTCCATCTTTGATACTRCAGATAAAGCTTCATCCACCCATGGTGGTACAGAGTGTATTCATTGAATACTTCCCTGGATAGGTGAACACCTCACTAGGAGGAAGTCTCGACTGAAAGAAGAGGAGGAAGGATAGGATCTTTCGGAGTATAGTGCTCCAATCAACAGTGATATATGTATTTATTAAATGAATATCAAATGGAGTCCACTTTACCACTCCTTATATGGTATAAATACATGTTATTACGTCGACATTTCCACTGATCTAATATAGATTTCCTTTGTTTCATCATCGCTTATATATATTTTGTTCATAACATACACGGCTCGTAGCTCGGGTGTGGTTATAGCATTCTTGGCTACCTTGACAGTCGTGGGCTTGGGCCAGCGGCTCATGAGCACCAGTGCTACTAAAGGCATCGTTAATGGAGACATTCTTAGTAGAGCATGATCAATGAGAGAGCTTAAGTAGGATTGTTTCGTAATTTTTTTATTATAAATTGTTTTAAAGTTCTTAGCAACTTATATTTTGGGTTTCTAAAATCATTTAAATTAGCAACTTTTATTGGAGTTGCTAAGTAA